CCGGGGCTTGTGGTGGAAAGGAGCCGAGTCCCTCTCGCTGTGATGCTCCGGGGCTGGGGGACCTGCAACCGGAGGGGTTTTGGGGCCGGAGGTGGGACAACCCCAGGGGTAAAGGCTCTGGAGCAAAGGACAGAGAAAGGCAGCTCCAGAGCCGGGGCCAGGAACCCCCTTGCCACCTCCCTCCCGCCACAGCATGGGCCAGAGCTGGGGATGGGAAGAGAGGTTTCCTGACGGGAAGGAGAAATGAGAGAGGGCAGGGATGGAGCCAGGGAGGGGGATCCCTCCACCCCGGCCAGGGATGCGGGAGGAGATGAGCCCCAGCAGGAGGAACGCTGCATTTTCCCAGGCGCATCCCACCAGGACCAGCAGCCTCTCGCGCTTCTCGGTGCAGAGCCTGAGGCCTCGGGTGCCTTCCCATCCCCCGCCACCCTCTACTTCTTCCGGCAGCCCTTGGCCGCATCCCCCATCATGTCCCAGTACTCTCCGAACTCAAGCTTGGCCTCGTCAGGGTTTCCCATGCATTCGATCTTCTCTTCCAGTGGTCCAACGCACTGCAGCAGGGGCAGAAAAAGCATCGGGGTGATGGGGCTGCGGGGTCCCACAGGCAGCCCGTGCCCACCCCAGCTCCCCCTGCCCACTCTCGGTTCTGCCCTCACCTTTCCCAAGTGAGGCAGCTTCTGCACCACCAGCTCCTGCATCTCATTGGGCGTCAGGTACTCCTTCTGCCCCTTCACCGCGTAGCAGTGGAACTGGTTGATGACGGTCTCAATGGCCCGCTCCACGTCAGTGAGGTCCTGGCAGTCCTGTGCGGGGGGAGAGAGGGTGAGCACTGGTGGGACACCTCCCCAGTGGGATGGGACATCCCCCAGATGGACAGAACAAGCCCCCAAGTAGATGGGACACCCCACGAGCAGATGGGCCTGTGCTCTGCAGATGTTCAACCCCTCCACAATGTGATAAACCTCCTTAACAACACGATACCCCTCAGTACAGATGTGACACACCCTCGACAGATGTGAGACCTCACTGTACAGAGGTGAGATCCCTGTACAGATGCCAGACTACTCCATACAGGTGTAAGACCACTCCATACAGATGTTGCATCCCTCCATACAGCCTCTGTACAGCTGCAATACCCCCCCTACAGCTATAGGCAAGTCACCCCCCATCTCTGCTTGTCCAGACTTCTCCTTGCCCAGGGCCAGCGAGGCTCAGCCACCCCGGCGTCTCCCAGCACTACACCCACAGTGCGTGGGGGCCGCCGCGGCCGTCCGGACTGGTTCTGCCTCTCCTTTGCACAAGCGACGGATGGCGGTGTGAGTCAGTGCCCAGGACAACTCGGTCACCCGCCGGGATGGGGTTTGGCGACAGTGGAAGCCCTCCTTTCTCCCCATCGGGACTGCAGACCCCTTACCCCGCAGGGTTGGGGGCAAAGCCTGGCCTGACCCACGCGCCTGGCTCCCCCAGCCACTCGTGCTAATTAGCCAAAACTCCAATTCAAGGGAAACGATGGTGATTCACTTGGCATCTGCGGTTTCCCCTCGAAACACTCTGAAACCACATCAGGCGATGCCCATTAGGAAGAACCCAGCAATCTTCAGAGCCTCAGCTCAGTGCCCCAGCTCAGCCAGCTGGGGCCAAATCCTCCACAGGTGCAAAGGAGCAGGGGGTGGGCACCTCCTGGTTGAAAGCCGAGGAAAACAGGAGACTTTCTGCCATTGGGCATCCTTGGAGAGGTTGCAAGGAGCAAGCAGAGCTCCCAAAGGTGAGTCCACAGGAGCTGGAGAAAGCTGCCTGGTTTCCCAAGCTTTCAAGCGGCTCCAAGCTTGCAGCACCAGGTTTCCCCTGCCCAGTGCTGGGACAGCGTCGCCAAACCCCAAAACAACCCCCCGGCTCCTCCGCTGGAGTCTGGCTCCAGGATGGGGCTGGCCCAGCCGTGCTGCTCTGAGTCACCCCATGCCCAGGGCTGTGCTCCGTGGGATGGGGCCATGCGGGGTCACCCCTTCACCCCAACAGGGGTCCCGGCCCGCCCGGTGCCGCGGCGTCGCTCATGGACCTTGCGCTTCTTGCGGCAGTTGCACTGGCCCATGCTGCTCCTTGTGGGATCTGTAGGTCCTTGGTGGCAGCAGTGATGGCGTTGCCCTCTCCGACGGGGTCTTGGGGAGCTGGCGAGAGGAGAAAGCCAAGCTCAGATCTCGGCTCAGGGGGAGTTTCCCCTCCTTCGGTGCCGGGACTGAGCACAGGGTGAGGAAGGAGCCCCAGGATGCGGTGAGCTGCTGGGACATGTCCCGGCAGCAGGAGCGTCCCTGCCCCAGCGGCAAGTCATGGCAGAGCCAAGCGTGGGAGTAGAAGGGGGGGTGCAGAGGGGTGGTGGGACCCCTGGGCACAGACCCCCATCCCATGGTGGCAGATGGGCCACTTACCTGCTCCACGGGCTGTCCTGGGTGTGCGCGGGCTGCGGCGCACCGGGGTTTTATACCGCGGGGAGGTGTGAGTGGGAGCTCCCTGCGCGCTGCCAGCTGCGGTGTGGTGCAAGGCGTCTCATTTCGGAGCCTGGCCCGGGGCCAGCGTGGGGCTGGGAAACGCCTCCTTTCCTGGCCACACTGATGGCTCCCCATCCAGCCCGGCAAAGGCACAGCCACTCAGCACCCCGTGGGAACAGCCACCCGGGCACCAAGTCCTGGGTGGCTTGGGGACAGGTCACCCTGTGGAAGGGATTTTGCCACTTCCCCACAGCACCAGGATTTGGGAGGTGAGCGCTGGGAACAGGAGCTCAGTTAGGGATGCTGAGCCCGGGACATGTTGTGCCAGCGGACATGGCGTCCCATGCCACCTAAGACCCCAGAGACGATGGACATGGATGCTCTGGAGGTGGCAGCCACTGCGGCATCACTGCCGGAGATGCTCCAGAGCCCCCCCCCGGTCCCAGCCACATCTCTGCCACCCATCAGGGCTGCACTATGCAGCTTCACATCCCAGCAGGAAGGTATTTGTGGGGCACAGGGTGGCACCCCAGGAGCCAGACCAGCACAAGGGCCATTTGGGAATGGCCTCATCTATCCCAGGTTCCCCAACACAGAGTGAGCCCCAACTCGTGGTGCCGGGCTGGTCCCCGGGCACAGCATGGCTATGGGCAGATGCAGGCAGGGGAGGAAATGGGGTGCCCAAATCGGGAGCCCCCCGCTAAGAACGGCAGCAATGCTCAGGCTCAGGGAAACTTTTTTTATTAGCCCCACATCGGCCGAGTCTCCCCACCAGCCCTGTCACTTCTTCTTCCCTGCTTTCTCCCTCCGCATGGCCTTCGCCAGCTCCCCAATCAGCCGCCAGTACTCGCCGAATTTCAGCTCCTCGTCGTTGTTCACGTCCAGCTCGCTCATCTTCTCCTCCAGGGAGGGGACATCCTGCGGGGGTGACAGAGGAGGCTTGGCCACATCCTGGTCCCCAGTGAGCAGGATGGGGATACTGGGGAGCAGGGGTTGCCACTCGCTCTCGCCTGCAAATCCCAGGGTACCGGGAGCAGCCCCCCAGCTCAGGGGCACCCACAGGGATCCAGCCACCCCACACATGCTGCCCCTCGCCTCACCTTCATCAGGTTGGGCAGCTGGAGCTGGACGAGCTCCTTGAACTCGCTGGCCGTCAGCGTGCCCTTCTTGCCCTCCTTCCCCGCGTAGGTGAAGAAGACAGTGACGATCTTCTCGATGGCCATCTCCAGCTCCGTCAGCTCGCCCGTGGCCATGGTGCCGGGATGCCAGGACACGCCAGTGGCCCGGAGCTGCAGGGAGAGGAGCCAAGAGGGGGTCAGAGGATCATCCCAGGGAGACGATGCCTGGGGTACATCAGAAGAAGGGGACCCTCTCCCCTTCCCCATCACCAGGAAGCAGTGAGTCTGCAAGGTCTCAGCTCTGGGGGTTGCCCCTCTGCTCCTTAGGGACTGAGTGCTTCAGCCAGGCCCTCCCCAGAGCCGTTTGGTGATGGCACAAACACCGTGGAGGCAGCCGGGA